TTAGGCATAATAAGGAACAGGTATTTTTCATCAAGTATTGATATGTTGAACTTTAAGTCCCTACATAATATGATAAAAGAACATTTAAAAATTAGATTATATTTTAAATCAAAATCTTAAAAAAAAATTTAATCTTGGTGTTTGATTGGTTGGTTTTGATTTTTTGAGGGAGAGTCTTGCTATATATATAGTTCAAGCTGACCTTGAACTCACTATATAGCCCAGGCTGGCCTTGAACTTATGGTGATTCCTGCTGCAGCCTCCCAAGTGCTAGGATTACAAGTATGCACTGCCAACATCTGACACTCAAATACTTTTTTTAAAAAGGGTTGGGAAGGTCTGGCCAGATAGCTCAGCGGATTGAAGCGCCTGCTTAGGCAGACACAGGGTTCGAGGTTTGATCCTTGACCTGCCATCCCAGCCCCACCCCCAGAGTACGCTGAGACAGTGATTGATCCTGGGCATGGTGGTGTGCACCTGTAATCTCAGCACTTGGGAAGCTGAAAACAGGAAAATCACTACAAGTCCAATCTGTATAGTGAGACCCTGTAGACCCTGTACTAAATACCAAAAAAAAAAAAAAGGGTTGGGAGAGCTGCGGAAATAGCTCAGCGGTCTGAGCACCTTCCTGGCAAGCGCAAGGAGCTAGGTTCAATCCCTTGTATTTCATGCTGTGATGGCTCCAGGTGCTACTGAAGCCAGGTGTGGTGTTGCACACCTGTAGTCCAGTGCTGGGGAGGAGGAGACAGAAGGATCACTACGAGTCTCAGTTGTATAGTGACACCCTGTACCAAATCAAGAAAAATAAAAGATTTTAGCTCAAGGTTAGCCTGAGCTGCATAGTGCACCCCTGTCTGAAAAAGACCAAAAGAAAAGGAGTAGGAGGGGGGCTGGGACCTAGCTCAGTACAAAGGCTGGAGGTTTGGTCCTCAGTACTACAAAATAAACACACACCCCAAAACTCAAAGATTCAGGGCTGGGGAGATAGCTCAATAGAATAAGTGTTTCTTTGGCAAGCGCAAGGGCCTGAGTTCAATCCCCAGTACCCCCGCAAAAAAAAAAACCCTCATATTCAGATAGCAAACTTTATCCATATTAAAGATATGACACTCAGATATGTATAGTTACAAAAGCATAATGCTTTTGTTTGCCATCTTTTCGTTTGTTTGTTTTTGTGGTCCTGGGGATAGAACTCAAGGCCTTGCACTTGCCAGGCAGGTGCTTATGCCACTGAGCTATCTCCCCAGCCCCTTGTTCGCCATCTTTTAAATGTTGTTCATATATTTTACATTTAAAGTATTACTTTCATTCTTTTTTTTTTTTTTTTCTTTTTGGGTGGTTGTGATCCTAGGGATTGAACTCAGAGCATTGAGCACGTTAGGCAAGTGCTCTACCACTGAATTATACTGCGAGCTCAGTTACTTATGTCTCCTAATTCTCTATAAAAGCTCCACCAGGCATGGTAGTACATACCTGTAATCCCAGCATTTGAGAGGCTGAGCCAGGATGTCACAAGTTCAACGCTATTTTTTCTGAGACCCTGTCTCAGAAAAGACCCGGAGAGTAGCTCAGTAGTGGAACATTTGCATAGCATGTGCCAGGCTCTGGGTCAGTCCCCA